ACTCACTCATTCACTCACTCATTCACTCACTCATTCACTCACTCATTCACTCACTCACTCACTCACTCATTCACTCACTTGCTCATTCACTCGCTCACTCACTCATTCACTCACTCACTCACTCACTCAGTCACTCATTCACTCACTCACTCACTCATTCACTCACTTGCTCATTCACTCACTCACTCATTCACTCATTTGCTCATTCACTCACTCACTCACTCACTCACTCACTCAGTCACTCATTCACTCACTCATTCACTCACTTGCTCATTCACTCACTCACTCATTCACTCATTTGCTCATTCACTCACTCACTCACTCACTCACTCATTCACTCACTCATTCACTCACTTGCTCATTCACTCATTCACTCGCTCACTCACTCATTCACTCACTCACACTGAGGGCCTGCTCTGTGTCACTTGCTAGTGTAGGCAATGCCCTCAGTCTGAGGGATTTATTTTTAGTTTACCTTTCTCTGGGGTTGTGCAGTAGGGACACTGGCCCCCTCCTGAGTGATGTAGTGCTTCACAGGTGCTCTACCCTTATGTCCCCAGAGCCTGAAGGTCAAGGTCATTGGCTCCAACAAATGCCCAGCTGCCAAAGCCCAGCCTCAGGCTGCCTCATTTTTGGCTGCCGGGTCTTCATCATTCCCCTCAGTGCATCATGGAAGATCTTTTCCTGTTTTTCAGGCTCCCCATGCCCGAGGTGGAGCCTCTGCCCTCACCACTCTTCCCACCCACCACCTCTACCTGCAACACCCTGCATGCCCCTCCCTTGTTATCTGTGCAGAGAAACTGTCCCTGCCACCCCTCTGTTTCTCTACCTCAGCATCCAGTCTGCCCTGCTGGGGCCAGACCTCATGGTTTGCAGCAATGCACCCTCTATGTACGTCCTAACTTCCCAACTTGTTCCTCTGTCCATAACATGTTCCTTCTGTACTCAGCCCTGTCCGCCTGGCTCAGCATGGCGCCCACCTCTCCTGCACGCCCAGCACAGAGCCCGAGCTGACAGACCAGCCCCCATCCCCAAACTGGCAAACCAGTACAGCTGTTCCCCTGGGACTAGCATGGGGCTTTTCCAGGGCACGGTTTATACTAGCGAAAATTAGAAAAAATGAGCACCTGGCAGAGATTGGTGGGGAAGGTAATGGCACATCCAGAAATTGGAAGATTTTTCCATAAAAGGGATTCTTCTGGGCATTGTAAAAACTCTTTAATAATGTATGAAAATACTTGTTACATTTTCAGTGGAAAAGGTTACAAAACAGTGTGTGCCAGAGTCTCTGGACAGAGTGGAAGAGCTAGAGAGTGGTGTCGGGGTGGCGCCGTGTGCGGCGGGGCTGCACACAAGTCCCGTTTTCTTTCTGCTTGTCTGAGTGTTCGCCATTTTCTGTGACGAACGCATCTTAGCTGGTTTTCTCTCGCTGATTAAGGAGAATGACACTGTTGAATACCCTGACCCCGCTCGGTTGCTGAAAGCCATCTCCAGTGAGTCCATTCAGGGGGACCCCGAGGCCACCTCTGAGGAGGAGACGTTAGCTGTGCCGGAGATCCCCGGGCTTTGGAACGAGGACTATAAGCCCTACCAGGTACCAGCTTTTGCTCCGTTGGGTCCTTTGCAGTCGGGAACCCCAGGCTGTCTTTTGACTGCTCCCACCTACCCTGCAGCCTCCCTCCTGCGAGCACAGGTCCCTCTCCCCTTGTGCAGCTGCCAACGGGACTGACTGTGCCCCATGATCCCAAACCTCCCTGCACCCAGCTCCCCCATCACTGGGGCCTCAGCAGTCTCTGCACATGGCTGTGTGTGGCCCGGAGGAACAGGGGGTCTCGAAGTCAAAGGAATGATTCTGAACTACTCTGCTTTCTCCTGGGGAGGCCCATTTCTTGAGAAAGGCCCGAGTTCAAACTCTCTCAGGTGGCCTTATCGAAGAAACATGCTGCATCCAGAGCATGGTGCTGCAGCCTGCGAGAGCAGGAGGCTCGGATGAGCTGAGTTAGTGCCAGCCGAGAGGCCACGGCTGTGGCTCTGTTCCACCTGGGGGCATCACCCACCCCTCAGTTTCTGTGAAACGTGGTCACCGTTGCTGTCAGGGCCAGGCCATTTGGTTTTGCTGGTTCTGGAGAAGCCTGACTGACTAGGGCAGCGGAGGGCAGGCGGGCCAGCCACCCCCACGCTCTGGACGCAGCAGGAGGCTGGTGGCACCCGGCAGAGCAGTGTCCTGGCAGCTTCCCACCGTGGGAGGGCGAGGGAGCCGCCCGGCTGCCGGGCGCAGGCACCTGCTGACCTGGAACCCCAGCCCACACAGGCCCCGCAGCACTTCAGAGGGACGTCCAGGGCCACGGCCGGTCACGGCCTGCCCAGTCACAGGTGCCAGCCAGCCGGCTCCGTCTGGGCAAAGCTTCATTTGTGCCGACACTGCCGCTTGAGAAATCGTTTCCTGTAGAACTTTTCAAACCCTTTCTCTTATCCTGATTTAACAACCGGGAAAGTTCTCCCTCTGCCTCTTCTTCCCAGAAATCTGCCTGAATCCTGGACACTTCTGCTTTCCTTGCTTTCATTTTTTCTCTTTTTCCGAAGTGGAGCCTCCTGCCCTGCCCCGGGCCGGAGCTCAGGGGTGTCCAGTTCTGCACTGGGGGCTGTGCTCTCCCTGCCGCCGGCGGCGGGTGGTTGAACTCTGGGCTTCGTTAACTGTGGTCACTTCCAAGCTGCCATTAGTGATGCCCCCACGCAGCGCCCACCACAGCCGGGCCTGCTTCTGACAAGCCCGGCCTCTGTGTCTGTGAACTCGAGGTGCCCAAGGAGGATGTGGACCGAAAGCCCGTGGGCGGGACGAAGATGGACAAGGACGTGTTGGCCCGCACCATGGCGCAGCTGCGGAGCGCGGTGGTCCACAGGCAGGTGGTGTCAGGGCGTGAGTTCAAAGGCCGCCCCTTCAACAGCAAGCCGGAGCTCATCCTCTTCAAGGTGAGCCTGTCCGGGCCCCTGGGCCAGGGGGTGTCAGCACAGGACAGTGGGGTAACCGGTGCCCCACTGTCCTAACCCTGCACCTGTCGTAACCTCGGAAAACCCGCAGGCTTCTTCAGCGGGCATGGACAGAGGTGGGTCCGAGATGGATCCCCGATAGAGGGATCTGACCCCTGCCCTGGGGGGCCATCCTGAGGAGCAGGAAGCTCCCATGGCCCTCAGAAAACCCTGCACTCATGGGGCAGCACGGAGCCCCGGGCCTGCTGGGAGGGGACGTGCTGGGACGGACAGCAGCCGGGCCCGTATGGTGGGCAGATCCCCACTTCACATGAGGCGACTGATCTCAGCAGGCACAGAGTGGGGACAGGCGAGGCTCGGGTGGAGTGTGTCTGGCTCTGTTTGCCAGACTTTGCAGGAGAGAGTGTCCCCGTGGGCTCCAGTGATGTCTCAGCCCTCCCTCCTTTCTCCACCCACTGGTCCCCAGTAAAGGCACATCCTGCCCAGGGTGGAGTAGACTTTGATGAGACAGGCGCCTCCTCAGCCTGGTCTTGGTGCACCCCAGGGGCCCCTCAATTCTGGGGGAACCCTTAAGGGTCATTTTCTCAGGATCTCGGACCAGTCAGTGCACGCTGGCTAGTGGGATGCATGGGGGGCGGACACCTAGAGGAAAAGCTGCCCGAATGTGACGGCCGCGGTGCCCCCTGACCTGCTCTGGAGCTGCTGCCGGGAAGCTTCAGATCCAAACTTCTCCTCCGACTCTCCTAGGACTTTGATATTGGCAAAGTGTACAAGAAAAAGATCACACTGATAAACGCCACCTACACAATCAACTACTGCAAGCTGGTGGGCGTGGACGACCACCTCCGGGACTTCATCCATGTCGAGTAAGAGGGGAGCCGGGCTGAGGGCGGGGGCCGGCGCCGGGGCTCTGACGTCCTTCATGAGCAGAACCGCTGCTGTGAGCTCGTCAGGGCCTGAACCTCAGGCCAGATATTCCTGAGGCTTTTGGAGAAGCTGTCCCCTCTCTTCTTGTGGGGAAGTCGGCTGACACCAGCCCAATTGCTTCCCTTCTCAAGTAGCCGAGCGTCCTGCTGGCTGCCCACGTTTCTTTTCTTTATCACTGTGTTTCAAAGTTGGCCATTCCGGTAAGTTCTCCCTGCAAATTCGTGTGTTTTTCATTATGAAGATTAAAGCCATCTTTATTTCACAACTGTTTCCTTGATCCGCATATTTAGATTTTTACTCTGTTCCGGTGTCTCCATTCTCTTCTTTTGAGACTCTCCTTATGCATATGTTGGGTCTTCTTTGCTGGTCTTTTATGTCTGTCGTTTTCCTTCTGGTCCCCTGTAATGCTTTCTTTTTCTCCATTTCTTTCTTTCCCTGAAATTGGGCTCACAGGGCCCCACCTAAATGTTGGGCTCTCAGTCCCAGCCCCTCTCTGGCTCCTGCCCACAGCCCTCTCCCCGCACAGGGTATTAAGACCCTAGACCCATAGCCCTAGGCCTGGCACGTGTCCAAGGAACTGAGGCTGCTGCTCACCCCACAGCACCCATTCCTTCTGGAGTTGTCTGTCCCCTGGGGACTTTCCAGACTTGCTGCCTGGCTGGACACATGTGAATGTTGGTTGAGCTTCTCCTGTCCTGGGTGCTGGGGGTAGCAGGCAGCACAGCAGACCCAGAGCTGCTCCTGGGCACAGGCCACCAGGAAGGCACAGTGCCTGGGACAGGCAGGGGAGGGAGCCCAGGAGGCCCCGCTTGCCTGTGTCATTTCTGTGGCGTGGCAGCGTGCACCCTCCACAGCAGCTCTGACTCGCACTCTGCATCCTTGTGCCTGCAGCTTTGACCCCCCTGGCCCCATGTCTGCTGGGATGTCCTGCAAAGTTCTGGTCACCTTCAAGCCCATGGTGAGTGACAGGAGCTTCCTCACTCTGCTGAGAGATGGGGAGGTCCACCACTCCTCAGGCTCTGCAGCACATCATGATGGAGGAAGGACACACCCGGCCTCTCAGGGAGGGTCATGTGGGTCCCCCGTTTTTCTGTTTTATTTCCCAGAAATATTCAAAATACTCTGAAATGCTAGGCCCAATCAGAGTGCGGACCCCCTGGCTCACAAGCCGGCTGGTGTGATCAGGGACTTATCTCTGCAAACTCTTGGGTCTGGGTCGGGTGTGTGATGTGGCCCCTCTTGACATATCCTGCTGACCTCTCCCTCTGGGGTCCCACACACTTGGCAGGCAGCAGGCTGTGGTTACACAGACACAGCCCGTGTAACTGGGTAAAGTCACAGACGTTTATGGTGGCTGGGATTGTTTTATTTTTAGATAAATAAAGATCTGGAAGGAAATGTCTCATTTTTGGCTCAGACAGGCGGATTCTCTGTTCCACTGAAATGTTCAACAAAGAAGTGTTCTGTAAGTTCAAAGATGTCTGAGCCAGCATTTCTCAGGGTGTCCTGGTTGGAAACCCCGGCAGGGGCTGTGCCTCCCAGAGTGTGGGTACAGACAGTGCACGGGGGGCTCAGGTCTCTACCGCAGGCCTTGGTCTGGCAGCAGCTCAGGTCAGGCTCTGACCCACGCCTTAGGTTGGTAACATGCATATGGGTCTAATGAAAATAAAAGCAGTCAGACCAGCACCTGAAAAGTCCAGGCAAAGCCCCTGCTCTGTGCAGAGCCCAGACTGCAGGACCCACGGGTCAGAGAGCTTAGCATTCTGCCCGTCCCCTGGGGCTGCAGGACCCTCCTCACGCAGGGCACCCTGCCGCAGCTGCATGGTCACCCACTCACTCTGGTGTCCTTTGGCAGTTGTCACTTGACAGAGAGCTCATTGACTTCGGCAGCTACATGGTAGGCGAGACCACGTCCCGGATCATCACGCTGACCAACGTTGGGGGCTTGGGCACGAAATTCCAGTTTCTTCCAGCCTCAGAGCCCCATACGATGGACGACTCACAGGTGGGTAGTGTTCTGAAAATGGCGAGTGTGCCACCTGCTCCTGTCAAGCTGTGCTACCGCAGGTTCCCTGTGGCACTACCCAGCCAAGGTCAGGGCATGGCACTCTCACCTGAAATGCAATCCTACATGTGCAAAAATGGGCAGTGACACGAAAGAATGTCAACGGTAGATTGCGAGGAGACAGGAGTGCAGGGACGTCCTCAAATCAGCCTTAGCAGAGAAGAGGAGACAGGCCTCCGAGAGGAGGACGCCTGCGGCCACTGGCCCCAAATGCAGTGGTGACAGGGCCAGCGGCCAGTAGCTGCAGGCCAAGAGCCCCAGGCCCACCCTTGCCCTGACGCATCTTCTACGTCCCAGGCATGGGGTGGGAGGTCCAACTCAGGTGGACCCACTGTGGCTGGCACATGTTCGGTGACTGTGTTCTGAGAGCCCAGGAGAGGGGACCGGGTGTGCGTGGCCCAGCAGTCTAGAAGGGAGTGGCCGCAGGCTTGCACGGCTTTGGGGCTGAAGCCCTGGAGAGAGCAGAGCTGGAACCAGGTGACCCCACACAGGGAGAGAAGTTCCCGGGACCTGCCTGGAGAAGCTGGGTGTCCCCAAGCCCAGGCAGAGAAGAAGGCTGTGTCCCCAGCCAGCTGAGAGGAAGGCGGGTCAGCCCAGGAGAGAGACTGTGGGCTCCACAAGCCAAGGCTGGGGCACAGCCAGTCCCTGGCCTAGGGGCCGGGCAGGGTGGGAGGTGGCGGGATTAGACTGGAGCACAGCACACCGGTGGCTTCGGGAAGGTACCGTGCCTGCCGGGGGCTCAGCCAGCCCGGCACACGGCCCTGTCTTCACGGCCCTCCCAGCAACAGGGGTGTGTGGGGAGTTGAGCGGAAGGTAAATGAGAAGATTGCCAAGTAAAGATGCATGTGCTCTTTTTAGAGCAGCCTCTTCACATCCGAAGACAAAAGTTTGTATGAAACAGTCGTCCCCAGTTTTTCTGAGCACCAGTTTGAGGGCCGCGAGTCCTCCCCAGTGGACACACAGAGCCAGAAGGGGTCGGAGAGGCTGGATGGCAAGGACCAGGACAGGGGGCGGCCGGCAGGTGAGCACCCCCACCCCGAAGCCCCTTCCTCCCCGCCTCTGACTCCAGAGCTGGCCGGGGCAGCGAGGACCCCCGAGGGCAGCATTGCGGGAGCCTCTCCGGGCACAGCCTCCTGCGGGCCAGGACGGGCCGGCGATGAGGGGCCCGGACCGGGCGGGGCTGGCATTTTCCCAGGGCTTCCACTTTAAGTGATAGTATGTGAGAAAATATTCGTAGATTCAAATAAGTACTGGTGGGGCCAGCCCGGGGGCGCACTGCTACAGTGTGCCGCTTGGGAGTGCGGTGGCGCTCCCGCCCAGGGTTCGGATCCCACATACAGACCGGCCGCTCACTGGCTGAGCGAGGCACGGGTGCAACACCGAGGGTTGCGATCTGTTGCTGGTCACGAAAAAAGACAAAAAGGAAAACAAAACAAAACAAAACAAATAAGTACTGGTGATGGAGTGCGTTGAAATTGGCGTTCAGACTGAAGCTAACAGAAGACTTAAAGGAGCCCAGCTCTGGACCGCCAGGCGGGCCCACAGGTGCAGCTGCAGGCGCTGCCCTGGTCTCTACCACTGTCTCTGTGGCTGTGGCGAGTGTCGATTGGTGTCAGCTGTGCAGAAGTGCGTGCAATGCACGCAACTGTCTGAGCCAGGGAGGAGGAACCTCCTTGAGGCCCGGCCCTCTCCCATGGCCCCCAGACTGCAGCCTCGGCTTGTTTCCCTCACCCCCTTGCTCTCTCCATGGCTCTTCCACACACACGTAGGCCCAGAAATGGTGGGTCCCTCCTGTCTTTAGCTCCAGTAGTGCCTCGCCAGCGTGGGTGGCTCCTGTCATGCACGTGCCAAGGTCACGTGGCCTCTGTGCCACCACAGCAATGCCTCGGATTTCTGCGGGTGCAGGGCCGGTGTGCCCCGCTTCATTCTCAAGGTGGTTGTGCTGATTTACTCTCCCACCAACAGTGTGCAAGTCTGTGCTGTCCAGTATGGCTGTCATGAGCCACATCTGGCTACTTGAATTAGTCCAAATGAAATAACAGTAAAAATTCAGTTCCTCTTCCACACAAGCCACATCTCACATGCTCATAGCAACACATGGCCAGTGGCTGCCGCATTGGACAGCCCCGAAACCCAACTTTCCCGCATCAGAGAGCCCTACGGGACCGGGCTGCGTTGGCACGGGCTGCTCCACGTCCGCACGGACACGTGGTCGCATGGTCCAGCTGTGTCCATCCAGGAGGCCCCTGTAACGTATGCTGTTGCGGTTTTAATTTGTATTTCCCAGATCACCTGCAGGACTGTGTGTCTGCTTGTGTGCCCACTTACTTTTTTTTGTGCAAGAGGTCTGTGTAAGGCTCTCCCCCACTCTCCTACAAGGCCGTCTTTTCCTCGTTTGAGCGCAGGCGTCGCATGTATCCTGGACAGCAGCCGGGTCGGTGAGGAGCGCGGCAGGCGGCCTCCAGTCTGTGCTCGTCTTTTCACTCCCACTATGATATCTTGCCTTAAATCAACCTTCTTAATTTTAGTGTTTGCAAATTTACCAGCGATTTCCTTTGGGGGTTATTTTGTAGGCCTTTTTAGCAAATTTTCCCCTATCCCAACATCATAAAGACATAAGACTCGGCTCTTGTGTGTAGGTCTGTGGCCCGTCCCACGCTGGCCCTTGTGCATATGGAAGGCAGGATGCAGGCTCACTTCCCTCTGCGTGGACAGCCACTCGTCCTGCAACGTGTGCTGAGAACAGTTTGCTTTCCGCACTCGGTTGATTTGTCACCGGTGTCAAAAACCAATTGACCGTATAGGTGTGGGTCTCTTTCCAGGCTCTCTTCTCTGATCACAGGATTGACTGATCCATCCCTGTGCCGGTACCACACTGTCCTAGTCATTGTTGCCTGGGGGACATCTGGAAGCCACGTAGTGTCAGTCCCCCAGTGCTGTTTTTCCTTTCAAGATACTTGCTTTGGATAGTTTAGGGCTTTTGAATTTCTACATACATGTTTGAATCATTTTCTCGATTTCTACAAAAAAAGCCTAGCGTGAGTGTGACTGGCATAGTCTTGAATCTGTAGATCAGTCTGGGGAGAACTGACATCTTAATATTGAGTCTTTCAATCCATAAACGTGATACATCTCCCGGTTTAGTTAGGTCTTCTTTGATTTTTTCAGCAATGTTTTATAGTTTACAATGTAGAGGTCTCATCCTTTTTGGGTCTGTTTATCCAGTCTGACAATCTTTGACTGTTTCCAGAGCATTTAATTTATTTAAATTTATGGTGGTTATTGATATAATTGGATTTGTTTCTACCATCTAATTTTATGCATTATATGGGTCTTGTTTCTTTTTCATTTTATTTTCTGGCCTTTTATCCCCTCTCCTTCTTTTATTCTTTACTAACTAGAAAGTCCCCTGGTCTTTGAAGTGGCCTTAAAACAGGGAACACACCTTACCATGGCTGGGCAGCCTGGCCAGAGGCGGAGCCACCACGGCTGGAGGGACTGCCAGCCGCTGCAAACGTCTGGTGTGAATGTGGGGTGCAGGGACAGATGGAGCCTGCTGCTTGGCGTTTGCTAATATTCCAGGCCTCACATGCTGCTGCCTGCATGATCCAAACTGCCTCAAGCAGCGACTGTACGAGAAAGTAGTCCCAGGCGGAAAGAGCCGCAGGTGACAGGCCAAAGCAGAGGCCAGCCCTCTCTGAACTCAAAAGAATTCCACAGGTAAAGTACCACGAAACACATGGTCATAGTCACGATTCACTCAACATCTTCATCAAGAATACTAGCAAATGAATCCCGTGAAAAAGGACATCACGTCAGAGCAGGCGGGGTCTGTCCTCAGAATACCAGGCTGGTCCAACATTCAAAAATCACCTCGTGTAATTCACCATAACGAAGTCCAAAGAAGAAAAAACATGATTTTCTCAATAGATGCAGAAAAAGTATTTGACAAAACTCAATATCCATTTATGATAAAAACTCTCAGCAAACTATGAGTAGAAGAGAACCTCTCAAACCGACTAATGGGCACCTTAAAAACAAGAGACACCTTCAGCTGGCATCAAGCCTGACAGTGAAAGAGTGAGCCCGTCCCCCACAGACTGGGAACAGCAAAGGTTTCCACGTGTCCACTCCTGTGCAATAAAGCAAGAAAAAGAAATAAAATACGTATACTTTGGGAAGAAAGAAATAAAACTGTCTTTATTCATAGGGAACATGATGGTCTATCTAGAAAATCCTAAAGAATCCCCAGAACTGAGAACTGAGTTTAGCAAGGCCACAGACACCATATAACACAAAGAAACTGAGCATATTTCTACATGGTAGAAATTAACCATTGGAAATAGAATTTTTATGAGTACTATTTATAATAGCATCCAAAACATGAAATACTGAGTTATAAAGCTACCAGAGAAACATGCAGGGTCTGTATGCTGAACACTATAAAATACAACTGAAAGAAAGTAAAGACCTAAACAAATGGGGACGTATGTGGCATTTGTGGACTGGAGGACTTTGCTGAAATATCAGTTCTTCCAAAACTGACTGTGGGCCAATGCAATTACAGTCGCAATCCCAGCAGGGGTTTTTACGGAAATCCAAAGGACCTAAGGTAGCCAAAACAATTTTGGAAAACAAGAATAAAGTTGGAAGACTTAGACCACCTGCTTTCAAGAGTGACTACAAAGCTACAGTAACAAGACAGTGTGATATTGGCAAAGGGACAGACACAGAGATTCAATGGAACAGAGTGGAGAGTCCGGAAGCAGACCTGCACAGGTACTGTCGGTTGATTTTGAACAGAGGCGCAGAAGTAATTTCTTGGAGAAAGAACAGTCTTTTCGACAAGTGAGGCCTTAACATTTGAATAAACATCAGCCAAAAACATTGAACCTCAATCCATTCCTCATACTGTGAGCAGAAATTACTCAAAATCGATCACGGACCTGAATGTAAAACCTAGAACCATGACGCCTCTAAAAGAAAACGTAGGAGAAAATGCATAACTTTGCGTTAGACAAAGGTTTCTTAGATATGACACAGAAAGCATGACCCACTTTTATGCTGAGACTGACTCACAACTTTAAACAGCGCAGCTGCCCCGTGTGAGGTGCAAACTCATGACATGATCCATTTTTTAAAATTATAAACTGGACTTCATCAAAGTTCAGAATGTCTGCCCTTCGGAAGACACTGTTAGGAGGACGAAAGGACAAGCTGCAGCCTGGCAGAAGGTATCAGCAAATCACACACTGTATAAAGAACTGTATCCAGAATATAAAAAGAATTCTCAAAACTCAACTAGGAAACAAATAACCCGGTCAAAAATGTGCAAAAGACTGGAACGGGCATGTCATCATGGAAGATATGCAGGAGGCAAATAGGCACGTGAAAGGCTGCTCCACGTCACCAGACATGAAGGAGATGCAAGTTAGAGCCCCAGCAGGGCCCACTGCACACTTCTGAGAGAGGCCACACCAGACACAAAAACTGGAGCACAGCACGCTGGCGAGGAGTAACTGAGGCTCGCACGGCGCTGCTGGGAGTGCGGACGGTGCCACACTTTGGGAAAGAGTTCAGCAGTTCCTTATAAAATTGAACAAGCATCATACACCCAGCAATCCCACTCCATGGGATTTACCAAGAGAAATGAAAAGGGTTTTGTGTGCATGTTTATGGAGTGTTTATTCGTAATTGCTGAAAACTAACTACCCGAATGTCCGTCCACTGGTGAGTGGACCTACCGTGCAAGGCTACTCAGCAAGAAAAAGGAATGGACTCCTGACACAGCAGCATCGTGGATAAACCTCAGTGCATCATGCTAAGTGAAAGACGTCAGACTCAAAAAACGGCAAACTATATGATTCCATTTGTGTTATATTCTGGAAAAGGCAAAACTGTAGGGACAGAAAACAGATCAGTGTTTGCTGGGGGCAGGGGAAGGGGTTGACTAGAAAGGGGCCTAATGGGATTGGGGTGGGCAGTGGGACTGTTCTGTATCTTGAGTGTGGTGGTGGGTATACAACTGTAGGCTTTATCAAAACTTGCAGAAGGTTAAATTAAAAGGGTTCACTTTTCTATCTGTAACTTATTCCTTAATAAAAATAATAGAAAAAAAAAAATCACACACAGAGAGTATCCCAATCTTGCATGGTTCAGGTGTTGGTATTATCAGACACTGAAAATAAAATAAGTATGCTCAACACACTGAAAAATAGTAGAATAAGATCAAGTAAGTTTGAAAATGAATCCATAACAACTTCTAGAAGTAAGAATATGATCACTGAAAGTGAAATCTCAATCAGTGGGTTAAATTAAATTAGACATTACTGAAGAGAGAATTAGTGAATTGGAAGATAATCCAAAAGAAATTTTCTAAATGCAGAGAGACAGAGATGGAAACATGAAAGAGATGGCACGAGCAACCACAGATGTAGTGAGAAGGTCCCACAGTGTCCACTGGTGTCTGGGAAAGGCAGTGTTTAAAGAGATACTTGCTGAGAATTTTCTAAAAGTTGAAACATGTCTAAACTCACATCCAGGAAGACAGTGAACATCCAACCTATGGTCAATAAAACAAAACAGACACATGCAGCAGATAAGATCAGACACACAAAGAAAAATTTCCTGATCATTAACGAGCCTGATTCTAGAATTTATGAAAGCTCTCCATGTTCTAGCAAGTGGGCCACGTGGTTCCGTGCTCAGACTCCGAGAGCCCCCAACCACCATCCATGCAGAACTGAGCAGCTGACCCAGAGTCTGACCACCTGGTCTCAGTCCAGGCGGTCACTGGGGTTACTCCTGAAGTAGCTGAGGATGTAAACCATCAGAGTGGAGGGCAGCTGACTCCGGCCATGCTCCCTCCCTGCCCGGGGTGGCAGTCCTGGCTCCTGATCAGGGTGACAAGTTCAACAAGTTGGAGGAGCTCAGAAATGGGGGCCCTGCTGCCTTTACAACCCAGACCCAAGAAAGGATGCACACTACCCTGGGAGGTAATAATTCAGCTCCTGGAGAGCCGTGCTGTCCAGACATGGCATCCAGGCACTAAGCTTGGGGCAGATTCCAGCAAGCCCACTGGGGCTCTCCACATGACCCGGCCTGGCCACAGCAGCCCAGCAGGTCTGACCCAATCTGGCAGCAGGTCAGAGGCCAGAAGAAGAGGACACAGACCTCTGCCTGTCCTATCAAATCGCATCTGTTCATGTGCAAAGTCAACAAGAAGGCTCTCTCAGATGTGCGAGGAACAGCGTCTGCTACCCAGGGGCCTTTCTAAGTCTCCCGCCAGTGCCCACAGAGCCCCATGGACAGATGGAAACCAGGAGCCCACAGCACGCACGCAGACAAAGCTGTAACCATGATCAATTAGGTCACAAAATTTGATCATTAAAGAAAAGTCCTTGAAAGCTGATTTTGTTTTAAAATTTCCAAGACTCAGTAGTCCTCCCCACCCCAGGGCTGGGTCATGAGAGTATGGCAGCCATCGGGAGGGGGCTCCCACAGCCCCAACACAGAGTCCGCATTGGTCAGGGTTCTCCAGAGAGACAGAACCAGCAGGATATGTACATAAATTTATGAGAGGGGACTTACAAGGGGAATTGGCTCATGTGACTGTGAAGGCTGAGGAGGCCCACCCCAGGCCGTCTGCAGACTGCACGCCAGCAGTGCGGTTCTGTCCAAGACTGGGAGCCTCAGAACCAAGGAGGCTGCGGCCTGAGAGCGGGGGCACTGCCAGGGGCTGCGGCCTGAGAGCGGGGGCACTGCCAGGGAAGCCTCGGAACCCAAGGCTGAAGAGCCTCAAGTTGGGATGTCCACGAACAGGAGAGAAGAGCATCTCCCAGCTCCAGAAACCGTGCACTCTCTGTGCCCTGGTCCCCCCCACACACACACAGCCGACCACACTCCTGCTATGTCCCCCCACTCCCCACCAGCCACCCCCTGGGCTCACATTGCAGCCAGGCTCCCAGCCCACGCCACTGACCCTCCTGTCACCCCGGGCAGGAGGGGCAGGGGGGCCCTTGGAGAGGAGGACACAGGGCCCTGCACACGCCGCAGCAGCAGCCTGCAGTGCCTGAGAGCTAGGGCGAGCTGGCTGGCCGCGCACAGGGCACATTTACTCACCCCACCCCGCAGGGGACGAGATGGAGGACAGGGAAGCGAGGACGTCAGGAGGTCCCAGGCCTGAGGCCAGACGCCCCCCAACGTCACTTCGTCCCTCCTGTGAACAAGAAAATTTTTGTGGAGCCAAAGGGGGAGGGGCAGCGCCTCCCCGAGGGCCCCGACTAACCCTGGAAAGGGGATGAGAGCAGGCAGATGGAATTGTCCAGAGCCACCGCCTAGGGATCCCATCCTCGCTCACAGCCCTTTGACAGCTGTCTGGGCAGACGGCCCCGGGGACAGCCAAGGACAAGCTCCACAGCAGCAGGTGGCTGGGGGGGCACAGATCCCACCCTGGCACCGGCTTCCCCTGTGGGTCACACAGCTCACTATGTTCAGAAAGGACAGCGCCAGGGGGTGTTTGGGGCGTAATGACTGTGGCCCAGGCAGGTCTGAGCAGAGCTGCCCGCCCCACACAGCCAAAGCTCTCCTCCGACACCCCTTCTCTTCCAGAACCAGAGGGAGGAAATGCAACCATCAACGTGGCCAGCGAGGCGCAGATGGAGATCAGGCTGGGGGAGGTCAGCCAGCCCATCCCGCTCAGACCCTGGCTGCCGGAGTCGGAACACGGCCCACGCCCCTCCGGCCCCAGCCACGCCCTCCTGACCTGCCGGCCCCACCCCTGGGGCCCTTGCATTTGACCAAAGCCAGGCTGGGCTGTGCCCACCACTGGACTTGCAGCCTCCGGGCAGCCTGCGATCTTGGCCAGCGTCAGCCACAGCCTCCAGGCTGATGCTGGGCAGGAGCGGAGCAGCAGGGCCGGTTGCCGGGGTGTGGGGCACTTGGTTGCCATGGAGAGGACACTGACCGTGGGGGCGATGCAGGGGGTGTCCAGGCTGCCCTTGTCTCTCCTGTGGGGTCCCACAGGGCAGCACCAGACTTGGGACAGGGCAATGTGTGGCCACATGGCCACCCCAGGGACATGGGTCCTGCCACTGTTTGTCCTCCCAGTGATGTGGCCATCATGAGGGTTCATGGGAGGCACCTTAATAAAAACTGTGCAACCCGACTGACCCCTTAGTGTCTCTCCTCCCGTCTGTGCAGATAACAGAGGGGGAGATCGGTGCCTTCAGCTCCACCAGAGTGGCCATCATCTTCACCCCGCTTATCCCCGGAGAGACGCGAGCCAAGTTCAAGGTCGTGTTCAGCAATGCACAGTGCCCAGCAGTGAGTATCCCGGCCGGCCGCCCCTCCCTGCACACCCCGTGAGGGCGGCACGGACGGTTGGTGCCGCAGTCAACACACGCGCGCGCGCGCACACACGCATGTTCCTGCACACACGTGCTTGTCTTTCTTAATTTTCAGGTAGTCAAAATTTTTATTTGTTGCTTTTCATCATTTATTCATGTCTGTTAAGTCAGATCACGGAGCATGATCTATAAACTCTTTATTTGTGAAGAGTTTCTCTGACGGGAGGCAAGGCTGCGATGGCAGCGCACACGTGCACGTGGGAGGAGCACACTTGTCGGGGGGCCGCACACCCCACACTGGCTGCAGCGTCCGGGCCACGCTCCCTGCGCAGAGTGTGTCTCCCGTGGCGATGCTTGTGGCAGTCCCCCGCCCGGGCCACGTGTCGCCACCTCACGGGGCACGTGAACTCTCGGCCACTCCTCCCCACGAGCGTCCTCGTCAGAACCAGCCCCGCCTTGCCCTGCTGCTGTGCTTGCCTTTGACCTCCCGCCCGTGTGACGGAAGTGACACGGCCACGCCTCTGACCCTTTGTCCTCTGCTTCACGGTCATCCCTTCTTCACATACAACTTTCCGTGTCTTCCAAGGAGCCAGGTCTTGTCTGCCGGCTGGGCCGTCGTCGCCCTGCTGGCAGAGCCGGGTGCCCTGGCAGAGCAGAGCCACCGGGCGCGCTGGCTGTGTCCCCCCTCCACGTGCGGCGGTCGTTTGTCTCATGGCACCGTTCCCTCTGCCCAGTCCTCTTGTCTCCGCTGGTTTGATCAAGTTTCTACTTCTCTGCTTTCTTCTCTTTGTTATTTGGAAATTGCACTTTTTTGTTCCACCTCCTGACCCCACCTGACTTTCTGTTTCTGTGGCAAAGGGAAAGTTTACAGATGCTCGGTCCCCCCAAGACACGCTCCCCGCGGCACTTCCTCAGGACCGACATAAAATGCGATTTCCGTGTCCCTTCTTTCCCGCTTTGGCCCTAAACTCCTAGGTTTACTTGAGTATCATTCAGTTGCTGGAATTTCCCGACCGTGCCCCACTGCTGGGGAGATCTTATCTAATAGCCTCGGTGCACGTGCCAGGCAGGCACTGCCTCTGTCCACGTGTGGCCATTTAACGTGGTCTGCGCTCACCATGGTCGCCTCTCCCCTCCCGATCAGGAACCCTGATCAATGGCTTCTTTCCTGTGCTAGGAATGAATCGGTCAGGGAGAGCAGGAAACAGCCTGTACGTCCCCCTCCCGCGGGCAATTTATGACAAGGACAGTTATTTATAACAGGAACCCCAGCAGCTAGGCATTGCCCCACAGTATCCCATCATGTCACAAAACACAGCACGCTACCAAGGCCCCACAAAAACCCACAACACCCCACAGTGCCCCACCGTGGTCCACCACACCCCACAGTACCCCAGTGTGCCCCACCGTGGTCCACCACACCCCACAGTACCCCACAGTGCCCCACCGTGGTCCACCACACCCCACAGTACCCCAGTGTGCCCCACAGTGTCCCTGTGGGGGTGGCCAGGACTTTGAGAGCCTGGCCTGCCTGGAGAGGGCGGCCTGCAGTGCCGTGCCGCTGGGTGAGGGGAAGAGGCCGACCAGGTGGCCCTGCCATGCTGAGTCCTGTCCTGTAGATGACCCTGCCCCCCGTGGCGACCCATGGGAACGTGCCCTCCAGCCCATTCCAGCACTGGGGCTACGTCACTGTGCCTTCCCACCTCCCATCTTCCTGCTGTCACGCTGTAACGCGCTATGCACTGACAGCTGGGCAGGCCGGGGTGCCGTCACCCTTGTACCCAGCACATCGTGGCCTTGAAGTGACCTCGCGTGTCCCTCCTGGAAGCACCTCCCGACTCTCCAGCAACTTCACTTCCCTGAGCGTTTGCTGCTTGCTCTGCTCCGTCTTGTCTCAGGCCCCGGGAACCAGCTGCATTTGTCACAGCGCCGCGCCTGGGCTCTGCCGGCTGGCGGTCCTAAGTGCCGCCAGTGCCGCAGGAAGGGAGGCATTCTAACCCGTCCCCATCCCCCCGCACCCCTACCCAGCCATGTGGGCTGGTGGCCTAGAAGGGGCGGGCGCCTGTCCCAGGCTGAGAACCCAGCAGTCCTTGCAGGCGTTCAGCGTGCTCGGCTCCCCCCACAGCAGCATGACGGTGCCCACCGTCCAGGCAGCTTCACCCTGCGGGGGCTGAGTTCCCACAGGCCGTGCCCAGTCTGGGGGCTTTGCTCCCCCTGCAGACGCCCCACAAGTCCCCAAACCTCCACTCAGGCCACCCAGCCTCCTGAGACCCCTGGAGTCAGAGTCTGGGGAGAAGCCGGGGGAGGGGGACGGTGGCCTCCCTCCCTCTCTCCCTGGGACGTCAGGACGGGGACCCTTCCAAAGCCTCCAGTGCGTGTTAGCTGAGGAAGCTGTGCCCTGTGTCTGCTTTTCTATGTGACGCGCTGTTCTGCCACAGAAAGGCTTTTCCCGCAACTGAAAATGCTGATAATTATGAGCCTGGGCGATGGGTACATTCGGTATTCTACTCTATTATAGCAACGTTCGAACATTTGATAATAAAATAATTTTACAAACAGTACAACATGAAGGTGTCACACAGAACCCCGAAGCCCAGCTGTGTAAAGGTTCACCTTCCAGGTCTCGTGAGACTTGTGCGATGCGGCCTGTGACACGTCCCTGCTGCGTCCCATGTGAACGCCGGGGTCACCACCTGCTCTGCTGAAGGGACTGAGTTTGCGTGTCCAAATTTAGCTGTATTTCAGAGCCACAGGCATGGCTGTCGACGTGCCAGTCTGGGTGCCCAAGCCCAACGTGGACCTGAAGATCTGCGTGTACGACCGGCTCTACCAGGACTCAGTGCTCGTCCACACGCGGTGAGCCCCCGACAATGGTCGGGTTAAGGACCCTGAGGTGGGAGGTGACCCTGGATTAGCCAGGGGGGTCCAGGGTCATCACGGGGTGGTCACAAGGGAGGCGGGAGGGTCAGAGTCAGAGACAGAGCGGAAGATGCCACACTGCTGGCTGAGAAGACGGAGGAAGGGGCCACGAGCCCAGGAATGCCACAGCCTTGAGCGACTGGAAAAGGGGAGACACGGATCCTCCACTAGAGCCTCCGGAGGGGACCAGGCCTGTGAACACCGTGACCTGAGCCCAGTAAGACCCATTTTGCACTTCTGACCTCAGAGTGCTAAGAGGATGAGTTTGTGTTTTTTCAGGCCCCTGAGTTTGTGCTCAGTAGTTTCGGCAGCCACGGGAAACTCACACCCGCCGCTTGCCTGGGTCACCTCGTGGATGCAGATGCAGCCCCAAGAGGTGTCTTCACATGCAGTGTTTTGTGAGGGTGTCCAGACCCCAAAGAAAAACACCTTCTCCCGAAAAGCAGCTTAGACAGGAAGGTGGGCAAATGGGGGGACTTGGAGCCTCACAGACCCCACGAGTGGAACACCTCTGTGCAGCCACACCCAGACCACAGAGCGGGACGCAGATGACACCACGACCCCCCACGGGCAGCCGCTGTCCTGGGACCCAGTGACGCCGTGTCTGGACGGCCATGCCCCACTCATGGGCAGCCTGCAGGCAACCGGGGACGGGGTTCTTCTGCAATCAGCACGTCTGCAAGAGGGTCTGCAACCAACAGGGTGCCAGCTGCTTTCGAGGGGGAGTTGGGAACTTGAAAGAAAGGGCTCGGGTGTGTCTGCTGTGGGACAGGGTGGACGGGCACTCCGCTTTGCAGGTTTACTGCAGGACGCACAGGGCTCTCACGTTCTGACCAGCGATGCGCCTCATGGCCGTGTGTGGGGGGAAGAGGGAATTCTGCCTTCTCGGGCCCCCAACACGCACATTGGACAACATAAATTTGTTCAGTGGCTTTTAAAATTCGATGTCAGTCATTTGTCGTTTTGTTTAATGAGGCCAGTTTTAGGGACATGGGTGTAGCAAAGGTGTCAGTTCATGAAGACCCCTTGTCATAAGTGTCCAGGGAAGTCCACCAGCCAGCATGGGAAACAGAAGGCGTCAGGCTGGCCGCCGAGGGAGGGAGGGCACCGTCTAAGAACCCCAGGCAGCCGCCTTCCCCGTGGGGACTGGGGCACAGGGGGCACAGGGGGCCGGCTGGGCGTGGTGGGGGATGCACACTGTAGGGCCAGAGGCAGGTCACTGGTGGACGGAGACGGGGCTCCTGTGGCCCTGGTGGCCTCTAGTCAAAGAGCAAGAGAGCAGAGAGACTTTTACCCTCCTGTCCCCTCCTGGCCAGAGACCCTGTGGACTGTCCAGGGCGTCACGGGGCGGCTGTGTGCGCTCCTGGAACAGGAGGCTATTTCCCTCGGTGTCCATGGCTTCTGTTTCTGATTTGCTGTGGATGTGGCCTCAAGGCCGTGGCTGTGCAGAGGTGTGGGAGGTACTGGGCAGCAGACCCTGTCCAGCCATGGGACACACAGGGTCATTCAAAGCAATCTGAGACACCAGAATACTCTAGAAGTTTCTGGAAGCAGGTGGTGCAGGGAACAGGCCTGGGCCTGCCTTCTCTTCCTTCGGCGCAGGGATGCTTGCTCCTGTGTGGGTAGGGAGGACGGCCCTGGGGTGAGCAGAGGCTGCCCACTCAGAGCTGGGCGGGGAGCGTCAGGTGGAAGCAGGAGGCTCCAGGTGAGCCCTGCTGGAGGCTGTTGGCCGGCAACGCTGGAGGAGGCTGAGTGGGGGCGGCCCCCGGCGATGGCGAGGGGCAGGTCCTGGGCCACATGCTGTAGTCATTAACCAGGGCCCGGCCATCCTGTGGCCTCCCAGCGTCCTGGCTTGTGCTGCAGGGCGTGTGGACGTCCAGCCCCCGGGACCAGCCAGGACCAGCACCCCGGGCAGGAGGAGGGCAGCCCCCAGAAGGAGGGGTCCCTCCTCACATGCCCCCAGGCCCCTGCACCCAGCGGCTGCCTGGCAGTTCTCCCAGAAAACACTCCGCTTCTGAGAACTGATGAGGGCTATGCTTAAACTGCAGTGTAGTTATTTTTAAATATTCCTCATCAGATTTTATTTCAGAGAACCCACCCCTAACTAGCAGGGCTTTGAAGATTCTCTCGTGGGGAGGCACACGTGCCTGGCTCAGGCAATGTGCCCCAAGCTCCTGCTGATGGCTCGGCCGTCACAACTGTTTCCATAACTCATGTGACAAAGCACGCGTGGTCACGGCTTGAGCCCCCTGACCTGGTGCCGCGGTTGCCCGCAGGTCGAAAGTGGCGCTGCGCCTGCGGTTCGAGGTGTGCAGGGAGCTGAGGGGCCACATAGAGCTCCTGCCCGAGACCGGCTACATCCAGGCCTTGTCGTCCTACTCAGTGCAGCTCAAGTTCCTGCCCCGGTGAGTGCTGGGCTGGGGCCGGAGGGGGGCTCCGGAGGTGTGCCTCGTGCTGGTCACTCTGTCCCAGGAGCCCGTGACTGTCAGCGCCCCTGCTGCGGGGCACCTGCCTTGGCTCCTGCCCTGCCGTCTGCACGCGTGGTCCTTGGGAGAGCGTGATCCCGTCCGCCGTAACTCCCTGCGGTCCTGTGTCGGGCTCCGGCACACACTTAAACCTTGGCTCTTTACCTCCTTCTTGAGGCTGATTTCTCTATGAGGTGCCCCCATCACCTGGCTGTCCCCACATCCCTCCTGTTCCAGGCATCTTCTCAGGCTTCCTCGGAAGGTCCCCTAGTTTCTGCCTTTTGCCAGGTGGACTGTGATTATGTCCACTTCACGTTTTCTGGTGCTTTGGAAGCTACAAGTTCTGTCTTAAATTCTACTGCCGGCTGCCCCTCGAGCGGCCCTTAGCTCCTGCCACTTAGCCAGGGGCCAGGATTGGGACAACCAGCGGTTGGCAGAGCTTGTCCCAGGGAGGCGGGCACAGCGGGCTGGGATGGGCGGGGAGGAGATTCTGCCTTTGGCATCCAACCTCGAGGGTGGCGCTGAGGGGGTTCGATAAAGTCAGAGCCGCCCAGGCCAGCACTCGGGGTAAAGCGGATTTTCTCTTTCTCATTTGTATTTGTCCTGATATTTCTATAATGACACTAATTTCCTTCCGGTAATCAAAGATAAAAGTATTTTTTTAAGTGACTACGCCTTTCAAGGGGCTTTTTAGAATTCCTTTAAGTTACAAACTCCCTATCAATTTAAAACATGACTCTGGAATTTGCTTCTATTTATTTAAATACAATTGTTGAGAAACAAAGCATGTGTCCAGTCAGAGTGCACCTGTATCGCGCCCCTGCAGTGGTTTGCTGCTTGTAGAGACTCACCTCACATCTAGACACCTCGGAAACCCGCAAAGTGCACATGTCCCCCGTTGGCTCCACGCTGGCCCTACACCACGATGTGTATCACAAAGCTCTTATATTTCATATATTTGTAGCTCTTGCCTGATTTTTTTTTCAAATTTCTGGCTCCAGGGCAATCTTGCATGATTTAAGAGCACCACTTATATGTCAGTTTTACTGTCATTTCACAAAATAAAAAGAAGAAATTACATTCTGGTGTGTCCTGCCTCCTTCAGACTCTCCCTCCCGGAAGATGCAGGGAAGTATTTCGACAAGGAAAGCCGAATTCTGGAGGCCCCGATGACAATATGGGTGGCTGACCAGGTCTGTGCATGGCACTTCCCAGGAATGCTGGGTGCTGCTGGGGCACAAAGGGCTGTCCTGGGAGTCCGTACTCTGAGCCTAAGCGAGGGCCCCAAAAGGCAGGGCACCCGGTTCCAGAGCCCGTCCTCGCTTGCCTTCCAGTGCAGTGCCCAACGCCTGACCAGCAGGTCTGCTCCGGCCCACGTGGCCCCTGCCCAGGGCAAGGAAGAGAGGGTGCTCTTAGGCCAGAGAGAGGCCTCCGGGCCCTGTCTTAGGCCTGGCAGGAATGTCTCCCAGGCACCCAAGCACACACGTGTACATAAAAAGTGTGCTTCACACACTTAGGGCACATGTGTGCACACAGCCACATGTACACGTGCAAGCACACAGACACACAAGTGTGTATGTGTGTGCACACCCCCATGTGTACACACAGGCACATGTGCACACGGCACAGGAGCACACGTGAGCATGCACCATATACGCATGTAGACACATGCACACAGGAGCATACGTGTGCACGCCATCTGGACACGTAGACACACATGCAGGCACACTCCCACACTCTAGCTGGTCCCTCCTCCTTGGCACTCCTTGTAAGTCTGCTCCCACCCCCTCACATCAGGGGACTAAAGGGAAGTGGGTCTCATTAGAAGACAGACCCGCTGTGTCCCGTTGGCCACAGCTAGCAAGAACACTAGCACCTTTGTTATTTGGGGGAACATTTGTGCTAAACCACAAGCGGTGGGGAATGTGCTCTTGCCCTTTGTGCTTCAGATCAAGCCCGTGGGGTTCACCGTCCATGCCATCGTCACCACCTCAGACCTGGAGGTCAGCCCCTCGGAGCTGGACTTTGGCTACTGCACCATCTACGAGGCCATCAAGACCGAAGTCAGCCTCTACAACCACTCGCTCCTGCCCCAGGAGTTTGGCTTCGTCGGACTCCCCAAGGTAGCACGTGGTCAGGTCCCCAGCTCCTTCCTCTCAGCGTGTGCCTGTCCTTGTCCCTGCTGCCCCCTGCACTGGCCCCACTGCCCTCTGGTCCAGTGCTCCTCTCCCTTCCCTCCAGAACCTTCCCCGGCCAGGGCTGCCCCCCTGCCGACCCTGCACCTTCTCCCTCCCTCACACAGTCGCTCACACTCATGTCACAACATGCATGTTCACATGCAGACACTCACTCACCCCCGTGTTCACCTCTCACGCTTCGTGCTCACACTCATGCTCACAGTGACGTCCTCATGCACACTCACCTCTCACGCTTCGTGCTCACACTTAAACGCCCGCACTCGCCCCCATGCACGTGTGTCCGCACAGGACGCTCTTTCTCACTCGGCCGTGGGTGCTTTCTGTTTGCCAGTTTGTGGACATCCAGCCCAACGATGGGTTTGGGACAATCCTGCCTCTGGAAACTTTGCAGCTCGATGTGATCTTCCAGCCCACCAAGGCCAAGGAGTACAGCTTCGAGCTGATCTGCAAATCTGAGATTAACCGGTGAGCCTGCCAGGGCGAGGGGACACGAGCAGCCTGGAGCACCCAGCTCAGGGGGGGCAACCCTTCCCAGCCCCTCCATGCCCCACTGGCACCGGACCCTACCTGCCAGGCTGACCACAGGGCTGGGGGCACTGCCAGCTGCAGGAATCAGAGACCTGGGTACAGACAGGCCTGGAGTCCAGGTGGCCTTGCACTCTGGCCCACTCACCCTGCTGTGAGTGGGTGTGGATTTATATGGGTGTGCAAGCGTGTGTGTGTGAGTGCACTGAGAGTGTGTCGTGAGTGTGTGTGAAGATGTGAGTGTGCATGTGTGGTAGTGTGAGCCTGCATGGGTGTGCATGCATGAGTGCATGTGAGAGTTAAGGGCATGTGTGTGAGTGAGCATGTGTGTACATGCAAGCGAGTGTGCATGCATGTGAGAGCACCTGTGGCATCACCCGCAGGGGACGTGGGAAGGCTCTCCCGGCTCGCTCGTCACCCTGACGCAGCCAGAAGTGCACGCGTGCAAACGGCCACCGGGCACGGGGCCCCGTGAGCGTCGCACGGCTCCCCCGCGGCCTCCTGCTGAAGCCGCCTGGCTCGCAGCTCCTCCTGCCAACCTCTGCAGCCTTATCATTGACGACAGCACCACGGACCACTGGAAAGTGATATTCATTTTCCCCCTCGTCGCTTAATTCTGTCACATGTAATGTCACTAAATGAATGTCATCTTCTGTGGAATTCAGTGAGAAGCTGATGAGGAAGTTTTTGTGACAACCACCTATCGTCACAGACGCCTCCCCCGGGGTGCACTCCCAGCCGTCCACGCTGAGCATGGTCGGAAAAGGATTTTATGGAGTTCATGAGCAAAGGGACCTCAGCTTGGTGTCAGTTCCGTCACAATGTGTCAAGCAGGGAGCTCAATTATCTGTGTGCCTCAGGACCACAACGTGACAAGTGGCAGCATCATCAGAACCCAGCAGGAGACGGAGCCACCTCTGGGGAGGTCACCACAGGCTCTCTTTGCTAATCACTCAGAAGGCCCTAGGGTCCCACTTGCTGGACAGACGGACCTCTGAGAAGTCTGGCTCTTTCCTCCAGTGGCGGGTGGGCCATGCGAGGTGCCCAGCGGACTGTGACAGCCGGACCGCCCCCTCGACGAGCAGCGGTGCTGCAGAGGTGGCCACTGGGCGGGGGTGGCCCAGGGAGGGGGTGGCCTCCCCAGCCGGGGCCACCCACCGCCCACGCCCCTAGGGCTGCCTGTTTTTAACTTTATAAGAAACTGCCCACCTGCTTGCCCAGCAGTGGCTGGCCCGGTCCACATCCTCACCAGCACTTGGTGGCCACATTCTGTGCTGGCTGGAGGGGTCTTCCAGGAGGTGTGTGATGGCATCTCGTTGTGGCTCTAATTTGAATTTCCTTGATGACTAATGACGTTGAGCATCTTGCCATGTGCTTATGTGCCATGTGTATATCCTCTTTGGTGAAGGGTGTGCTTCTATCTTTTTCCAATTTTTAAAAAATGTTTTAATTGAGTTTTGAGAGCTTTTTATATATTCTGGTATAAGTCCTTTGGAGGGAGGAATTATTGTCAATTCTGCGTTTGAATCCTGTCTGATGCATTATTATTGCTAAAACTGTCACATCTTTGGCCAGTGAGAGCATCTTCAGGCTGGCTGCCGAGTCCTTGTGACACGGTCCTAGTGTCACCCTCCCCGTGTGACGAGCCATCTCAAGCTCTCTGGTGCGTTTCCAGCCTGGGACCTGGAGTTAGACGTTTCTCCATGCAGCCGTGGTTTCTTCTGGTGGGAAGTGGTGTTTAGTGACCCCAGTCTGGGTGCAAGGGAGCTCATGGTGCCATTGGCCTGACCATTGTCTGCAGGTCTCTTCAGTGGGCACAGCTGGGAGGTCACCTCCCTGAAGGGCTCACACTGAAGCTCCCAGTTCAAACTCAGGACAGCTTGTGTCTCGCATCTGGAGCTCCTGTGCCCCACACTCAGAACCTGATAAAACTTAAAACATCGTGTAATTATGCATCTGTTTATCCCACATTTCACACAAAACCTTTCTCATAAGAACAGAGCCCGCACACCACCGGTGATAGGTCGCAGAGAGCAATGTGACAGTGCTCGTGCCTGCCCTGCCTGTCCTCTCCTCACGCTCTCTGGTTGCACGGCGTCCGCTCCCAGAGCTGCAGCCACCGCCTACCAGGGCTCCTGTGCACCCCGGGCTTGGCCCGAGCTCTGCGAGTACCTGGCGCTCCCCACCAGGCCTTACGCCAGTGTCTCCAGTCATTTGGGCTGGTGGTCATTCTCTGTCACGGTCCTGGGGAATATGGAACAACACGCTGTCATTTCCTATGTGCTGGGGACAGCGTGCCTGAGCCTTTGGGCTTGAAATCTGGGTAGCTAAGAAAATGTTTCTTTCCTTGAGTATCTTAAATATATTAATTCGTTGTCTCCTGGTGTAAGGCATGTCTGTCAACGTTTGATGACAATCTTCCTTTTTGCCTGAATACCCAAGAGGTCTTTCTCTTTTTATTTAAAATCCAGTGATTGTTCAGGAGCACAGTGTGGCGTCGGTTGTCCTGGACGGACTCCCCTCGGCCTCTGCAGGGGCCTCCCGTTGTGCATATGACGGATTCTTGGCTGTTCTTCCACATTTGCCACTTTCTCTTAAGTCTTTTTCATCACACCTTTTTACTTTTTAAATGTTTCACTTTCGTATTTTCTCTCAAAGACGATCCTCTGGGTTCCTTCGTTCCGGGGTCCCTCCTGCTTTCCTGGGACATGTCCCTCTTTCCTGCCTGGTGACACGTCACTTCTTTGCTCCTGTGATTCTGATTTGTGTCTCTGTTTCACGTCTCGTATGATTTCTCAAGTCTTTTGAGCCGCGTTGGATTATCTCATTACACCGTTTGACTCTTTCCTAGACACTTGTCCCTGGTGTGTTTCGTCGTCTCTAGGAAGGACCTCCTCCTTATTTTCTTTTGTGTCACAGCAGCTGTATTGTGGTCTGGCCTTTTTCTGCTGCTCGTTCTCATGAGCCCCGATGTCTTCCGGCCTTCAGGCAGGGCCCGGTCTACGCGGCTCTCCGGGCCCCGCGGCCCCTTCAGCTTCTGTCTCTGCCGCCTCCACTCCCTCTTCTGTTTTCAGATAATCCGGGCGCTCAGACGACCCCCAGCACATACCCTGCGCCCAAAGCACAGATCTCATGTTGCTACCACTGTCGCCTCGGATTCCTCTTTGCTGCAGAAATAAACATCCACCCGCGGGAGGACCTGCCTCTGTCCTGCCCCTTCCCCAGAGCTGACCCCTCCCAGGAGCCGTCCAGGTCCCTCTCGGTTCCTGGTGTTGTACTTTCACTACGTATCTTCGCATCTATAAACTGTGCACACACACAGACGCATATGACGTGTGCACCTGGTACATGTGCGTGCACGCACGTGTGTGTCTGCAGCGTGTGTGCCTCAACATTTGCAGAGACGTAAGGTGACCGAGCGTGCCGCTGTGCCCGCCACCGTGGGGGTTCCTGGGCCTGGCGTCTTTGAGAGCTGAGACCAGGAGAAGCCCAGGCAGATCCAGTGGCACCGTACTCCGTGTATTGATCTACATTTTGCTTGTTCTCCCCCAGCCATGTGTATTTTTGAGACTGGCCTGTGCTGGCACATCTAAGGGTTCCATTCTGGACATGTTAAGTTTGCCTGTGAATCATCAAAAGCGGTGCTTAGTGGGAAGTTCTTAGCTCTAAGTTAATACACCAGAAAGGAGAGTTTGAACGATAACCTAAGCTTCCTTTTGAAAGATTAGAAAAAGAGCACAGGAAACTAGAATCAGAGAAACTAGAAGCAAAACACCATAAAGACAGGAGGGAAAATCAATGAAATAGAAATCAAATATTCCACAGAGAAAGACAACAAAAGAGGCTTTTGAAATAAAAATTAGTAAAATGTATTACTCCTCACAAGACCAACCCAAATAAAAAGAGAGGGATCCAAGCTGTCAGTGTCAGGACACCACCACAGACCCTGCAAACATCAGACAGACGAGAAGAGAACGTTACGAACAACTTCACGCCAGTGAACTTGACAATTTGAATGAAACAAATTCCTCAAAACGTGCAACTTAACAAAACTAACACAAGAAAAAAACCAGAAAATCTGAATAGCTGAACAACTATTAAGGAAATCAAATCCAAAATTCAAATGCATCCCACAATAAAAAACCCAGATGATTTCGCCAATGAATTCTTCTAAACATTTAAAGAGAAGATAATGCTGATCTTCCATAAATCTCCCAGAACAGACAAAAAGAACTTGCCCACTGGTCAGGGGACCAGTATAACCCGGGGCTGAGCTGCAGCTCCAGCCACTTGGACCACACAGCCTGGGGGCAGGAGTGACCTCCAGAGTGTCCCAGAGCAGGGGTGCGGAGCCCGGAGGACAGCAGCACCCGCTCCGCCTGGCCCGCTCCCTGGGCCCAGAGCCCCGTGGCGACAGGAGCGCAAAAGCGAAGGCGACGTTTGCTGCCCGGGGGTGAGGGCAGGCGTGTTTTGACCGGGAGGACCGGATGTGCCTCTGAGGTTAGATGGAGAATATTTTCCGCACATTGAATGAGCAAATCTTTACCTCAGAGGATTTTGCAGGGGAAGAAACACTTCAAGGCACATGCTGAGATGAAAGCATTTTTTCGGCACCTGTGGTGTCGGCGACGTGTGCTGGGCTGGACAGCAAACACCAGCCCAGCCGTCTCTTGAGGGCCTGGGCTGAACTGGTGCCTCGGACTCATGAGGATGACAGCACCTGGCGAGCATCAGGAGGGCCTCGGGGATACGACCCTGTGGTCCGACGAACGATCCTGCTTGTCAGGGCTTCGTTCTTCCCCGGCAATGGAAAGGACATCCCGGGTGACTTTCCAGAGGTAGACTGTTAACAGTAATGTTGCAAGATGCGCTACCGCGCGAACTTTTGGCATATGAAGAAAAGGAATTCAAAGAATTGAGTGATGCTGGGGAGCAGCGTCCATGGAAACGAGAAGCCCTGGTCACTGGTGACAAGTCCCTCACCCGTGACCCCTGAACCACCTGAGGACGACGACTCCGTCCATCCTTATAACACTTCCAACATGTTACTTTTCCTATGTAACGACTATCACATTTACACAGTTGTGTTTTTATCAGTTCATTGGGTGATTGATAATACCGTCAATGACATCTCCACCCAGAAGTAATTTTCTACCCTTTAGAGCCTGAGGTCACAGGACATAGAATAGCCGTTGGAACCTCTCAACATACGCACGCATCTTTGTTACACACACGTGTGCCGGGCCAATCAGTGTCATCCTTAAAGCGTAGAAATATATGTATTTCTGTCTTTCTTTTAACAGAGGGTGGCGGGAACCAACCGGCTGTAATAGTGGATCCCTATGCTTACGTTTAAAGAGCGATTTTTCCATTTTATTTTTCAAATGTCAACAGTATTTAACCAAATAATGCAGAAACTACCCCTGTGCAGCTGTCTGGACTTGCGGTTGCCTCAAATGCTCACGGGGAGACACAGCATTGGCAGCGTTCACCCGTGGGACAGTGAGCGCCGTGACGGGGCCCTAAGGAGTCCTGCGTCCGGCTGAATGCCACCCCCGGTCGCTTCCAGGTGCTTCAAGCTGTCTTGCCGGGCCGTGGCTGTCCACCCGCCCCTGGAGCTGTCCCACTACCAGATCAAGTTTGCGGCCACTGCCTTGTACAGCACCTCCGTGGCCACGCTGTACGTGGTCACCTCACAACTGAGCGTGAACTCGCTGACCCGCTCCGTGCCACGCATGGGCTTGGAGGACACCTCCCTGGTGGGGCCGGCGTCTTTCGAGTTCCTGCTACCCCCGGACTCGCCCATCACCATCTCACCGTCAGTGGGGACCGTGCTGCCGGGGAAGGTGGGTGCAGGTCCCACGGGCGACCTGGGAGGTGGGACCTCCAGACCACCCTGCCCAGGGGTCCCATGCCCCTGAAATGCAGGGAGCACCCCGGGGGCTGAGCCAGCAGGCGCCTGGCTGGGGGCTCCCGGTGTTCAGACCGAGGAAGGGTGTGCCGACCCCTGAACCAGCTGCACATCGACCTCACAGCGAGGCCACCAGCACCTCCTCGCACAGAGTGAGGGTGTCGTTGGTCCACTTCATCCACTGCCCCCACCCAGCTTCTCCTGATAGAGCAGAAAGGGCCCGGGCCTGGAAGGCAGAGCCCAGCCCTCCTGGGCACGTCCGTTACCGCCCTCTCTGAGCTTAACTCCTTACTCTCAAAAGTTAGGGGTAAGGGGCTGGCTGGTTAGCTCAGCTGGTTAGAGCACAGCCTTGTAACACCGGGCTCAAAGCCTTGGATCCCCATATAGACCAGCAGCCTAAGAAGCAAACAAAAGTTAGGGGTGACGGCCACTCTGAGGGGTGCTGAGAGGACTACGTGAGAACAGACACAGGAGGTGGGGGGCGCCCAGCCTCCGGGAGGGCTTCGGTGCATGCCTGGCATTAAATTCAGCAAACGCTACTCAAGCACCCCTTCTCGTCTGCACAAGGGGCAGTGCTTTGCTGGCTGTCCCCCTCCCCTCTGCTCCCGCCTCCTCCTCTCCCACTTCCTCTCTCCCCCCACGTCACCATCACCGTCACCGCCAGCTTCACCGTGCTGAGCCCTCCGCCCTGAAACCCAGTGCTGAAAAGGAAGGTTCATTTCTCGCTCCTGCCTCACCGGCAGCGGGAGGGGTCCTGGCCCATGAAGGGCCCTGCTCTCAGCGCCTCCCGTCCCAGGGACCCCCACCCCACCTTCCTGGGGACAGTAGCCAGGAAGAGCCTTCTAGGCTGAAATCCCAAAGAAGAGCTGACCTTGACGAGAATCCAGGGGCCAGGGTAGAGCAGGCGCTGAGGAGCGCAGGGCTCCAGCAAGGGCCACCGCTGCCTTCTGGGCTCCAGGGGGTGGCAGGAGGTGGTGGCCCCAGCACCCAGGGCTGCCCTGCCCTGCTCTCCCCACAGAAGTGCCTGGTCCAGGTGGCCTTCCGGCCCGTGCTGCCCGAAGAGCTTATCCGCCAGGAGGCCCTCCGGACCCTGAACAAGAACATGGAGGCCGAGTCGGTGCGTGGGCGCCGGGCGGGGGGCTGGGGCCTGCGGGCGTCTAGCGCTGCGGGCTCGCGGCCCCGGAGGGCGAGGCCGCCAGGCAGGCCCTGGCCCAGTGCTGTCCCTCAGCCTCACAAGCCGGCTCGGGAGGGAGGCTGGGGAAGGCACCGGGCCAGTATCCCGATTCTGGCAGATTCTTCACCCCTTTTTGTGCCTCGGTTTCCCCGTGGCTGACGGCAGACACTGGAGTTGGTGAGCAGCCCTGTGGGGGTCTCTACTGGGGCCTCACGTGGCCTCCGGATGCCTGTCTGTCTGTAGCTCTTCACCCCTGTGCACCTGCCGTCTGTCTCTCTCAGGGACCGGTTGGTATCTGGGTCCCATGCGTGTGAGCCCGCGGCTCCCACGGTGGCTGCACTGCACCTGGCCCGGGCCTGCTAGGCTGTGCCCTGGGGGAGCCGCGGGGGGCGGCACGATGCCTGCTGCGCTGAGGACGGAGCTCACGGGACAGCTCCACAGCCTGCCGCTCCCCCTACAGTTCCGAAAAGACACGGCCACCCAGAGGAAGGACCGGCAGAGACAGTCCCTCTTCACGATTCGACTGCACAACCAGGACCAGTCATTCCGGGTCTCCACCCCTCACACCCTAGACCTTCAGAAACAGGAGCTCAAGGCCAGGTGGGCCCGGGAGAGGGCTGCTCTCCAGGCCCCTCTGATGGGACCCACCTGGCCCCAGTGAAGACTGTCCCCACAGACTGCCTGGAGCACAGCTGCATTGGCCCATGTGGCTGGAAGTCCAGGGCTGGTCTGGATCCAGACACTGTCTTCCTGGGCACCTGCCCACTCCACTCCCCTGGGCCTGATTTCCCTCCCTGCACGGGCTCGGGGACAGGCTGCTGCCCCTGATGCCAGCCTTCCTGGTGTGCAGGATGAGCCCCAGGAAACCTCCAATGGGCTTGGGTTCCTCGCTGGCCCTGGACCTTCCCTGCAGCCCCAGGGACATGGCACTCTAGTTAGGTGCTGAAGACACCTCCCCCCACCTCCCCTCTCATGGCTGACCAGGACCCTGGAGCGGGGAGGGGCCCCCACAGGAACCAGAGAAGGGGGAGAAAGCCCAGGGTGGCCCCAGTCTGCTGCCCCTTACCCCTCTGGCCTTCCCCAGAGAGGCCACTCTGAGCCCAGGGCCCTTGGGAGCAGGAGTGGCCCTGTGGGCTGCACACTGGAGAGCCCAGAGCAGACCTAGGAGGCTGGGCCGAGCCGTGGGTGGGCGTCAGGGGAAGGGGTGCAAGTGCGTTTTGCTGGCTTCCTCCCAGCTACGATGAGGACCAAACGGCACAGGCGGCCCTGGTCAGAGCTTTCCAGGGGAAGTTTGACAAGTTTGTGGTCCCTTGTGTTGTGGCCACTGGTGACATCAAAGACAGGAAGAGATTGGAACCTCTGAGCTTCAGGTGCGCGATGCTCTGGCCACGATGGGGTGTGGTTGGCCTCAAACTAGCTGTCCCTCGTCTGCTACTGACCAGATCTGGGAGCTGGGTGGGCACAGGGCTGCCCAGCTCTGCCTTCAGTGTGCCCTTCCCCTGCCCCCAGCCCCCACAACACCTTGTACCTGGAGCTGTGGTGTCCAGCGGTGGCACCGTCTGTCATGGTGACATCTGACAGAGGCAAGACCATCTGCAACTTTGGAGATGTCGCCGTAGGTGCGTCCTGAGTGGGCCCAGACACTCAGCTCCCCCCGACACACCCCTACCCCAGGGACCTAGGCACACCCAAGACACCACCAGTTCCCACACCCTAACGCAGGGCAGGGTGCTCCTTGGGGCCTAGGGACTATGACCTGACTCCCCCATTTCAGGACACTGCAGCATCAAGAAAGTCTCCATCCAGAACATCTCTGCTGAGGATCTCTCTGTATCCTTGTCCACAGGCAGCCCGGGGGGTGGGCGGGGGCCTGCTGAGGGGCTGCGGCCAGGCCCATACAGGTCAGTCCCCCCTCCTTCACACCGGGCCCCCAGGTGGAGTTCTCCGTGCTGAACCCCAACGGCCCCTTCCTCCTGCGGAACCCCTCCGGCCAGCTGCACGCGGGCGAGACCCAGGTCCTGGTTCTGTCCTTCTCTCCACACGACAGCATCCTGGTGAGTCCCAGCTCTCCCCGGGGCGATGCTGAGCCTTGGCCTGCCCGTACTGCAGAACCAGGGTGTTGGCCATGGGCAGACACCGCCGTGTGCGCAGGCCCAGGCCTGACCGCAGGGTCTGCTGGCAGCCTGTCCTCGGGTTCTTGCTCTCACTGGCAAGTAAGAGGGGGCAGGCAGCTCCAAGCTGTCTCAGCTCCTGCACAACATGACCAACTGCTCTTAGGACGGAGGTCCCACGTGCCTCTGACAGACGTCTGCACCTCACTAGGGGACATGGTCTCCTTAGGCTCAAGAAACGCTGGACATCATCACCAAAAGAGGCACGCTCACCCTCACCCTCGTGGGCACCGGCGTGGCATCCACGATCACGTGCTCCATTGAAGGCGACGTCCTCAACATGGGCTACGTGATTGCCCGGGAATCTGTCTCCTCAAGCTTCAAGGTGAAGCACATGGTGGGCCCTGGTGCCGCCCCAGCCTCCCTGCAGAGGGCGGGGGTTCCCACCTGGGGAGGGGTCAGCCCGCCTTTCCAAGCGCCCAGCTGGAGCCAGTGGAGGTGCAGATTGTCCCCACCCCCTCCTCCAGCAGCTTCCACCTCCGCTGGCCTCTCCAGCAGGGGGTACAGGGTCTCTGTTTCCAGAAAGGCTGAGGATGCCCCCTCCCCTCCAGCCCTCGGCCTCCCTGGCCCCCTCAGGGCCCCTCGTCCTTCTGCCATGGGCCCCACACAGAGCCCCCTGCCAGTCCCTCTCCTGCTCTGCTGCCTCAACACTCACTCCTCTGGAGCTCAACCCAGGCACCCCTGGGGTGGGCAAGGGTTTGCAGTCTCTGTGGCGAGGCCACACTGCCCGGGCGTGACGGTGGGCCTGGCTCCCGGTACCCCTCCGTCTGAGGGACGCACCAGTCTTGGCACCCGCCTGCTTCCGTCGCTGGCTTAGGTCGGGTCCTGGAAGCAGAGCCCAGGACGGGGCTGTATTGAGGGGGGGCTCTCTCTGGACAGGGGGTAGGGTGGGGAAGGAACTGGGCCAGGATGCAGGTTTAGCTGGACCGAGCTGGAGCCTGACTTCTAAGGAGCTCCGGAGGACAGACGGCAGCACCGAGCTGCCCACACACGCTAGGCAGGGAACAGGGTGGAGGCCAGGGGGGACGAGAGGTGGGCACCAGCAGCTCAGCAAGCTGCCACGAGCACTGGCGCCCCTCCCTGCTGCAGACGCGGCAGGTGGAGCCTGGAGGCCCCGTGGCCCCAGGTCCCGGCCGATGTGACAGCAGCAGGCGGCCGAGTCCCGGGCGCGGGCAGCAGGCCGGCCCTGACGGGCGGACGCGGGCTCTCTGCAGCTGCACAACAGCTCCCGGCTGCCGGTCGAGTTCTCCGTGCGGCTGGACAGCCTCTCCAGCGCGGGGGCCGAGCGCCGCCAGCAGCTGCCCCGCTTCCTGGCCTCGCCCCTCGCCTCGGCCGCCCAGAGGACCGAGGTGGTCGGTGAGCTGGCGGGGGCCGGCGGGTGGACCACGGGGCAGGTGGGGCGCGGGGCTCGCGGGCGGGCGTGGAGCTGGACGGAGCGGGGCTGGGGGCAGGGGGTTGGGGTGCGGGGTGCAGGGCTCCGCCACGGCCGCCGGTCCCCAGGCACACAGAACCACGGCGGCCAGAGCGTGTTCAGCGTGGTCCCGGTCCACGGCGTCCTGGAGCCCGGGAGGGCGCAGGAGTTCACCGTGACCTTCAGCCCGGACCACGAGAGCCTGTACTTCTCCGACCGGCTCCAGGTCGTGCTTTTCAAAAAGGTGCGGCCCCAGGACTGCAGCCCCGGCCGCGGCCCGGCCCCTTCCCGCACTGCCCCGCTGTGAAGGCCCGAGCAGCCGGCGGCCCTGCGGGCACCGTGCCTGGGGGCTCTGCGCTGTGTTCGCGGGTGTTAGGGATCGTCCCTAGAGAAGCCACCGTCCAGAGTCCTGCGGGATTCTCACCCAGCCCTGCCCCCTCCCGGAGCCAGCCCCACCAGCCACCGAGCCTCCGGGACAAGCCTGCTGCCCTTCGGTCCCCAGAAAATCTCCCACCAGATCCTCCTGAAGGGTGCCGCCCGGGAGCACGGCATGTTTGTGGAGGGTGGAGACCCCCTCGACGTGCCCGTGGAGTCTCTGGCTGTTACCCCTGCCGTGGACTCAGAGCACAGAGAGGGTGAGACCCCCCCACCAGGGTGGGAGCCCAGCATTGGGGAGCAGTTAGAGGACCCCCTGGCCCCGTTAGCCCACAAGTGGGTGCCCCCAGACCCAGCAGAATAGGGCAGGGGTTCCCAACCCCCCACCCCCAGAGCCAGGCAGGATGGCCTCTGCAAACCAGAATTTTCGGGAGCATTCCAGCTCCACCCTCAGACCCTGTTCCTCAGCCTGACCCCGGACAACTCCTCTCACTCCCCCGGCCATACCCTCCACCCAGCCAGCTCCCGGCCAGCCCCTCTCTCTCCAGAAGCTGAGGAGATGAAGCCCATCCTGGTGACCCTGGACTATGTCCAGTTTGACACAGACACACCAGCCCCACCTGCCACCCGAGAGCTGCGGGTGGGCTGTATACGGACCACCCAGCTGTCTCCAAAGAAGGTGGGCACATCACTGCCTCTCGTGGCACCCTGGCAGCCTCCTCGGCCTCCCTGCACTGGGCAGCCCTGGCCCCTCCTGGACTGCCCCTCACTGGGCTTGCCTGGGACTTCCTGCAGCAAGTGTGGGGTGGCTGGTCTGGGGTGGCAAGCAAGTGTGGGGTGGACTGTGGGGTGGCAGCCTGCTGGTCAGAGCTGAGAGGGTGGGTGGAGTTGGGCATCCTCACCCCCTACCAGTCCTCCTCTCCTGGGAGCAGTGCCTGGCCCCCAGCCCCAACAGCCCCAATGCCCACAGACAGTCGAGTTCAGCCTGGACAGCCTCCCGTCCCTGCAGCACAAGGGATTCTCCATCGAGCCCTCCAGGGGTTCCGTGGAGCGCGGCCAGACCAAAACCATCAGCATCTCCTGGGTACCACCTGCCGACTTTGATGTAGGTGCCTGCAGGCTCCAGGCTCCAGCCAAAAGCTGGGCAGGATGACACCACTGCCCCACCTCAGGGAGGGGGTGGCTGTGGAGAGCCCTGGGGTTGAGGTGGGCAATGCATCGGGAACGACGATGGATCTGCCCGGGGTGCCTGTTGGCTGAGGATCCCCTTCCTCCGTCCCTTCCTCCATTCCAGCCGGACCATCCACTCATGGTGTCAGCCCTGCTGCAGCTCAGGGGGGATGTGAAGGAGACCTACAAGGTCATCTTTATAGCCCAGGTGGTGACCTGAGGCTACAGCAGCCTCCCCACAGAGCCCCCCCAGACGTTCCTGCCCATCCTCAAAGCCCACTGCAAGCGTGAAACTGGCCAGACCTTGCCCAGGGGCCTGAGACCTGGGCATCCCCTGCTGGGCAAGTTCAAGTGGACAGCCCTCTGCATGGCCCATAGCCAGGGGCCCCTGTCCCATGGACGCTTCCCTTCCTGATGCCCTGGACACAGCGAGCCCAGGGTCAGAGCACCCCCTTTCCTGGACCCCACACTCAGAACCAGCAATAAAGCTAGTCCAGGCAACAGTCTGTCCCTATCCTGAGCCCCTGGGAGCCCCCAGCCCCACCAGCACCCTCCCAGCCTTTAGAGGCCCCAGGGAGAGCTGCCCACACAGGCCTGTCAATAAACTCTGAGACAATACGTGGAGGCTACAGCGTGGTGCCGGTGAGTTCCTCGCCAGGGAGAGCACAGAATGAGAGGTGGGGACAGAGCTCTGGGGGTGCAGGCCCAGGGAGGAGGGGCATGGGGCTCCAAAGCCCCGAGCCCCTCAGGCCTCACAGTTCCTCCCAAGTTCCAAGACCCCTGATGATCCCAAGCAAGGAGTGAGGAAAGGCTGGGCACCCAGCTCACGCATATGCTGCCCTCAGAGCCCAGCCAGGGTCCAGGGTGAGGCCCAGCTGCTGGCTTTGGGTTTCCACTTGTCTGAAGTAAGTCTGGGCTTGGCTTTCTTGGCTCTGACCCTCCCTTCAAGGGAGAAGCCCTTGACCAGCCTGTGAGAAGCTCCTGTGAGTTCAGAATGCTGCCTGTTCCCCAACCCCACTGCGTCGCCAGCTCCTACCCTCTGAAGTGTGGTTTGTTGGACACCGGCCATCCCCACAGAGCCCACCCAGCCTGGCCCTCCTGTCACAGCACAGCACACCCCTCCCGGCAAGGCAGGGGTGGAGGGGTGGTACAGCTGGTGCTTTCCTGGGAACAGGCCTCAGTGCCCTTAGTGCCTAGAAGCCTGCCATTGCCCTCAACTTGCAGCCAGTGACATTGACCCTGGAACAGCATTTTGCAGGACTTCTAACCAGTGGGCCTTGGAGGGAGCAGACCCAGATCTCTTGCTGCCTCCACTGGGGCTGCCCAGCCATGGCCCAAGTTTGCTTCCTTGACAGGTGGGAGAAGAAGGCAGGGTCCACCAGGCCCAGGCCTCGGGAGGAGGTGCTCCCTGGAGGGCATCGTCCCCCGGGCAGGCCACTCTCTTCTATGCCCTGGCCTGGCTCCCCAGCTGGCAGGCCCATGGTAATCAGTGGCCGAGGCCCTGCCTAGATCCTACACGAAGGCCGAGACTTCCCCTTTCTGAACTCCAAACTCTGGCCCCAGGCGTCAGGCTGAATTTGTGTCCACCCATTCCTTCCTCCCACTCCTGTGCTGGGCCTCCAAGACTAAGCACAGTCAAGGCAGGAGGAGGGAGCATGGCCAGGAGCCAAGCTCGGCTGGAGCTCAGTGGGCAAGAAGGGCCCTTGGGGGCCAGCACAAGGCCCCAGAGGTGCAGGACAGCTTCAGGCAGAGACCGGATGGTGGAGGGAGCAGTGAGGTCGAGGAGCAGGTGCTGGGCAGAAGAGCCAAGCAGAAGAGGCCCCGGCCTCAAGGGGTGGGATCACTTCCCTTCCAGTGGGGGACACAGGTGCAGACACCTACACACATAGAGTAAGTCCTAAGTGCAGTAAAGAAAGGCAGACAGGCACCGGCGGGAGCTCCTCCACCCTCCCCTGGACAGACTACCCTGCCCCTTGCCTGGCCTGACCAGACGTGCTGCTGGTCCCACAGGGAGCAGAGGGCAGAGCCAGACTAACAGGGCACCTAGCCTGAGGGAGGGGTCACGGTCAGAGGTCCTCTTGGAAGAAATGGCCCCCCGCCCTCGCCCGCAGCATGAACACAGGCATCCCCAGGCTGAGGAGAGGAAGCTGGTTCCCAAGGTTGGGCACGGTCTTTAAGGCCAAGTGCTTCTGGAAAGTGGGCTGCATCCCAGAGCCTCGCTGGCCCTGAGCCAGAGGCGGGCTCCAGCCCGGTGGGCGGGGAAATCCGCCCCCAGGCACACCTGCAGCGTGGTGCAGGTAAGTGGTCTCGGACAACGCGCTTGAAACGCCCGGGTCTTGCCGGTGGAACCCTCCAAATTCCCTCGAGCTCTGTGACGTGTGCGAGGTTTCATCCCCGTGGTCCTCGGGGCCATCCTGGGAGGCCGTGTGGCCCGACCACAATTTTCCAGGCGAGCCCCCGAGGGGACGCCCAGGCCACGCCCACTCCAGCTGTAGGACAGGCCCTGCCCCTCCCAGGTCCCCAGCCGGCGACCCTGGGCCAGCGCGGCGGGCGGGGCGGTGCATCTGAGGGCGGAGCATTCGGAGGGCAGGGCCGGAAGTGGGCGTGGCCGGGGCGGGACTGCCATTGGGCGGGGCCTCAGGGCCGGGCTTCCTGCGAATGAGGCCTCCGAGGGGCGGGGCTCGGGGGCAGGGCCTCGGCGGGAGGGACTCGGGGCGGGGCTCG